CATGGTTAGCATTTAAGAATGAGTCTTCTTCTCCCATAGTCCGTCTCCTCTCCTCTTTTAAGATATTCCGTCTCCTCTCCTGCACCCTGCACACAGACTGGAGATAATGAAAGGATGCTGCTCCTTACCGCCACCCAAGGTCTCCCGGTGCTTCGAGGTCGGAGGGTGGGACTTGGGGAAAGGCCTAGGCAGGGCCCAGTGAAGCAGCCCAAGCCTCCCCAGGCTGCATGGGTAAACTACACAGGGCTCCTTAGGTTGGCTGCACACCCAGGCTCTATGCCAGTGATGGCAAGGCTTTTAGAGACCGAGTGCCCAAACTGCAACCCAAAACCCTCTTATTTATCACCAAGTGCCAACACTGCAATAAAACCCGTTATCCGATGCTCAGCTGCTGGGGCGATGCTGGGGCGACTTGGCTCGCATGCCGACAGAGAGGGCTCTGTGTGCCAGCTGCGGCATGTGTGCCATAGGTTCGCCACCACTGATCTTTGCTATCTAGCATAAACAGTAGTGGCGTTGAAAGCCTCGTTATCACCTCACTCCCTTTCCAGAGCAAGGGGGGCTAATTGGCTACTTTGGCACTTGACAGATGAGATCACTGCCCTCGATTGAAAGAAGCCCAGGATCAGTTCCTGTTGCCGATCACAGCCATCAAAATGCATTGGCTGCATGGTGCTTCAGGAGGAAGACTGCCATGTGCAAAGATTTTACAGGGGTGAGACAAGTTTTGCAGAACTGCAAATAGGACAACTCTGGAATGGAATCCCCAAGGCAAGGACCCCAAAATCAGCCTGGTCAGCCTGAGCATGCTCCATAGCTGCAGAAAACTGTGGGGAAATTAAAAACAAGCTAAGGAGGAATGGAATGGAGTGTCCTGGGAAAGAGCATGACTAGCTGACTGGAGAATGAGCAGGAGCACTTCACACTGCAACATTTTGATGCAGGATCCATTTGTCCAATAGCATCATAATACACTGATTCTGCTTCTGTTGCTGGCTTTATGCCAGTGATGAGTAACACGCAGCCTGCCAGAACTTGGAACCTATAGATTGCATTGACCCCTACCACGTCTATGCTGGCTAGAACTCATGGGAGTTCTAAAAGTGGGTTGCACCAGATACCTTCAAGCTGCAAAACCTGGATGCCGTAAGCCAAGTTCCAGCTGTTTCTCCATAATTCTAGAGCAGCACCAGTAAAGCAATAGATTTGCATATGTTAATAATGTATACATACAGATGTGCATTTGGAAATTGAAATATAATTTATCTCTCTTTACGGTGAAGACCATGATCAGGTGACCTGTATCATTCCTGCTTACCTTGCTGATGAGGTACTAACAGGGGAAGGGCAAATTCAAGGCACTTCTTTGCAAGGGTCTTTTTCTTAAAATTGGACTTGGACTTATCAGCCCTTCAAACAGAGGATTATTCACTGACAGCCCTTTAAATAGAGGACTGTCCTCTTTGAAATAGGATACATGGCCACCCTAGGGATGAGCCTACCGTTACAATGCTGCAGCTGTATTCACTCAGAGATATCCTGCTAGAGTAACAGATGGTTGATCTAATCAACCATCTAATGAGCAATTTCCATTTAATCAACTATCTTTTACTATACAAACAATCTATAGACAACACACAGTTACTTGCATTTAATTGCCTGCTTGCCTATGGATTATTATAGTAAGATAGCAATTTAGATTAGATGGAACCAAACTTTTTGTGATCATTATTGTGCTACATCTGAGTCCCATGTGACAAAATAACACAAAGAGGCCAAGAGTTTGGGAGGACAAACACACATCAAAAGCCAGTAGTAGTGGTCTGGGGAGGGACAATTTTCAGCAGAAAAGCAACACCTTTCATTTTGGTGCTTTCTCTGGTATAACCGACCAGTCTAGATCATTGTCCCAGCTCATGCAGTGTTCCAGGAAGCCCGTCTGCTCTTCAGACATTCTGCTTTCCATCTGCTGCTGCATCATATCATGCCTAAAAGCTTATCAATAGGATCTTACCAACTGTTAATCTTTTTTGATCCACCAGCAGCAGCCAGGAGAATATAGGGAGTACAATTCTTGCTAAATCCATTCCATCTGCGTTTCCTGGATTGACTGGCATCTTTTGTTTCATCATCTGTGCATTGACGGAATTTGATGTTTTAACTAGAGTTTTGTTCCAGTTGTACTAATTTCCTTAAATACAAATGTGCATTAGCACTGATGTGCACTCATACAAATGCATTCTGTATTAATTAATGTGAATTAGCACTACTGTAAATTAATGAATGTTCATTTGTACTAATGTGTTTCTGCATATAGAAACACAGAAACTGAGCGAGTCAGAAGGGGTCTCCTGGACCATCTAGTCCGACCTCCAGCTCCAGCCGGGTCTGCTTATGACATGCCTACCATGTGCAACACCGTATGATCACACACACATTTTCCCACCCCCCTCAAAGTGCAAAACTGGTCTGCACATTCAGGGAACTCCCATGACTTGGAAAAAGACTAGCTCATTATGGAATCTACAAGGTGGATTTAAAGAAATCCAAACTTTTTGGAATCTCTTGCAATTTTTACAGACATCCGATCTAGGGCAATGCAGTAGCTGACAGAGTGGTAGGCGATTCTCCGCAATGCAGGTGTCCAGAACTTCTATCAATAGTAGTTAAATTGGGAGGAAATGAGTTGAGCTCCAGTAGGTACCAGATTTAGACACTAAGGAGTGGGTGTCGATGCGTGGAATGAACTACCTTACTGGTGACAGGAAATGATAGGATACAGTTGATGTCTAAGCAAAGGGGTTTTGGAGAAGGAAAAGATGGAAGGAAAAATGCACACTTGTAACACGAGAACATACCATGGATTACAAATGCTGGTTGTTCCTTCCCCAGCAATCCATATTTCAGGGTTTGGATGTCACAGAAAACAACCCACACTTACTCTCTAGCCAGGGTAGCTGTGATGTATGGATTGGGTCATCAGCCGCACTAATGCGCCGTATAAGTAATCTGCTGCCTCCTCTGAATTTAGCACAATTAACCACATGGCTGGCCACACACTTCATGATCTTGCAGACACATGTGGAGATGTACTGCGTCAATGGCGATGCATATGCTCATGGTTCTACGGCAGCATGGGGCAGAGCGAGGCGTCAGAGGCGCTGGCGCTGATGTTTGGGTACTCCCGTGCATCCAGCACTGTAGGTCGCTAGGCATGTACATCTGCAGTGTACGTGTATGAATGCAGTCCTACACATACCTACCTCATTTCAGTGGGGCTTCCTCCCACGTACTCGGTATGAGATTGCAACCTTACTCTGTCGGACAAAATTAATCAAATTGAAAGGCAGCCACTAATGCATGCCCACAAAATGAGCACTTATTTATTTTTATATTACATAGTGTCCATTGCCATTGACTCTGGGCCGTTTATAAGAGATTCTACATTGAGCAGTTGAGCAAAATCTAGTTTTCAGAAAGCCAGTGAAGAATTGAAGAATTAAAATGGTGATACACTCTTGCCCTACCACCCATATTCTTCCCCCTTTCATCACTTAGCCAAAGTACAGATTAACCTATTCACCTCTCTGCTTCCAACCAACTGTCATATCTCCTCCACCCCCATAGTGTTGGAATGACAGGATAATACCCATGTTGGTTCAGCTGAAGTTGCACCATTTGATTTCAGCAAATTTAGCTTAATTGACGTCTGTAAGAGGAAAGCATTTAAAGCCCAGCGTGGTGTCACTTGGCTGTTGATTAGATTAGTTCCTGTGCACCTGACCAAATCTGTTCTGATGACAAGCCACGTGAGCCTGTGTGTAAAGGGCTGTCATTACAATATATTAAGCAGAGTGCATTCCAGATTTCAGATTAGGTGCGATCCTATGCAAGCTTAGAGAGGGAAAAAAGGACCTGGGACTTGCTGGGAATTGTATCCGTTTTTCCTTCTGTCTAAACTGGCATGGGATAGTTCCTGGCCTAGCTGTCATTCAGTCATCCAAGGGACACTGGAAATGGGAGTTTGGGAAGGGATTCTGAGAATTTGGTTGGACAGGATTGTGGTTCCCAGGATTATAGTTCGGGGTCGCCATGGCATCTAAACTGATATAAGGTAATAGTGGAAATACATGTGAAAAAGCTCCAATGGTTGGTCAGTTTTTAAGTAAAAAATTAAATAAAAACAGCCTGTGGAAGGGGTCTTGCACTGGTTTCCCAATGGTCATTTTTCCACTAAAAATGTACCTCCATTGCTTTGGAGTCTCATGGGATTCCAGGCGCATACTGATACAAATATGTATCTGGAACATGAAAAGGGAAAAAAACAGCTCAAGGTGTGAAAGTGAGCCAAAACTAGTGAACAGGAAAAGATTATACATTCTCCTCCAAGTGCAACTCTACTCAGTCTTGAAGCTGCCTAGATTTTTTTAACGGTTGCTCTGTTTCTTTTCATTTTCATGTAATATAAAAAATACTCCAAAGTCATTTCTCTTATCAATATTTCCATCCCATGGCACATTCTGAAGTTGCCTTTCTAAATTATGACATGTCACAGATTTTTCTCTGTTCTTTCAAGTTCCATTTCAGGAACCCAAACTAAAGATGTTGTCAATGCCAGTGGTAGAAGTTGTCTTAAGTTCCTTGCATATCAACCATTCAATTGCGACACTTGAAGACTTAAAGAGAGGTGGAGGTGAGGCGGCAAACTGATGTTTGCATGCTGATAAGGGCACTGAATCCAATTCCAGTTCCCGCATTTTGAGATTCTGAGTCACCCTGAAGCTGTCCCAGTGAGCAGGGTGCATGTCATCTAAAAATGAACCAGCCTCGTCACAGCATAACCATGCGCTCTCCGCAACAGGAGAGGGCCGATAGGAGCACCGGGCAAAGTGCTGGTCTGCATGGAAAATTGGAATCCTCCCACTCATGACTACAATGCTCGGGTTTGCCAAGGTCAGGTGCATGCATTCCTGTAAGCAGACAGCTGTCAGCAGAGTGTTTCGAAAGAGCCGCACAAAAGCCCGGCTTAGAGATGCGCTAATGACAGGGTGGCAGGGACTGCGCCTCTAATGCTAAACGAGCTTCGCCCAGCAGAATTGTTTGAGCGACGGGACCTGCCTGCAGGCAGAATGCGGGAAAGGTAAGCATCACCACAAACGAAGTCCCAGCACCGTAGGTGATGTGTTTTAGCACGTTAACATCATTGTCAGCCTGAGTCCTAGTCATCGGATTAATGAATCTGTCTGTCTGTCTGTCTCATGTACCTGGGTCAGCTCCTCCAAAACTTACATTCTGCAATAAGAACCGAATGTCTTGTGATCCACCAAGGCTTACATCAGCCTTTTGAAGAGTAGTGCTGTTGCCAGCTGGGTTCCTCCTTCACACATTCAAAAGCCACAGACCTTTTTCCTTGCAAAGTGTTCTTTCTGGTCCAAAACTCACAAAACGCCCAGAATGAACCTCCGAGCATGCACAGGGCAGTTTGTTGAACTCAATCTAGTATTCCTCTCCAGGAGTTCTCCCTGTGAGCACGCCAGGGTCCCATCCCTTGGTGAGGGGCCTTCTGAAAGTGAGCACACCTCCTCTCTGTGCGCCAGTCTTCTAACTGGGTCACCCTTCTCTGCCGGCAATGCAGCATGGGGTGAAGAGCTGGGGCCGCTTTGTTTGTACCTGAGAAACTCCCCTGCTCCGAGTCCCCTCCCTCCAGCTGTATATCCCGGTTATTCCCAGGGCCTGGCTGCCCACCTGGGGAGTCTGGCCTTGAGATGAGCATCCCTGCTTCTCCCATCTCAGAGTCTTGGCCTGGTCCACATTTCCAGCCCCACCCCCAGTTCTGCTGCACTATGCCAGATGCAAGGTAAGCAATTTGAAATGGCTGCTTCTCAGCTGCTTACTGCTGCCTCCAGGTGAATCTGGAACCGGATATACTCTTGTTCATTTTGATCAATTATTGCTCCTATTTCATATATGCTTCTGTCATATATTATAAGCCTTTACCGGGCTCTAAAACACACAGACCTGTAATTTGGCACACCCAAACAGGCAGACCTGTTGTCTGAACACTTTGCTCTTAATTAATTTGTGGTCAGCTGTAACTATTTTTATTATTGGACTTTCATTCTAACAGCGTCTTTATAGATTTTATCTGCTGTATTGAAAATGGATGTGCCATCAATAACTAGCATGCTATGTAACTGCGTAACTTTTCTTTCTTTTTTCTTCTAGCTGCCTGTTTTCTTCTTTGTTATTTTGTCAAACTATCGAGTACATCCATGTGAGATATACGCACACATGTGTGTGTATACCAGGAAACCTTACAGACACGACTGGCTTGTACAGGTATGATCCTTGGCAGGAGCGGCCAAAACTCTTGGACAGGCCCGATCAGAGATATGTTGTTAGCTGTGCCAGAGCAGCAAACGGCATTGGAGCCCATGCCAAGTCAAGGTGCATCGTGCACAAGGATGGGCCTTACTTTGGCACCCGAGGCAGAAAATCACTAGAAAATCACATGTAAACATACAGTGACTGATGAAATAGCTATTTTGTGCCCCTTCTTGCCACTCAGAATCAGCATTCTGAGGTAGCTGTCTCTCCCTTCCTCAAAGTTGGTCCTGCCATTAGGGTTAGGCTTAGTTTTAGGCATAGGCTTATAATCTATCAATTCCATACACAGGCCAGGGAGGGAAGGAGATCAGGTGGGGCATCACTAGGTGATTTGCTAGAGGCACATGAAAGTCAAACAAAAAGGTTGAATGTGATTAAGACACACCACACAAGAGGAAGAACTTTAGCCTCTCTGAGGTGTTCTGGGGACCAAGGGTTGCAACATGGTTTCTGGCCCAGATCAGCAATCCCATCCTAAGTCTAAAGCTGTTCCTACAGTGCCAGGCTTTGAACACCCCTCTTATGGCGGAACGTTCCTTCATTTCGTCCTGACATAGGGGTAGTCGGGTGATAGGGACTCGATATTAATAATGAAAGTAAAAAGAAAAAGAAAAACAGATTCGTAGGGAAGGCTGAATTCTCTTGAGCCTCCAGAATTTATTAATAGAACAGCCAGGACCCCTGCAGCTACTTATGACAGCCACTACCGGGGAGAAGGCCAAGCATCTACGAAGGTCCAGATCATACGCAGCACAGTTTTATAACCTTCTAGTCACATACATCAAATGCAGGGTATTTGGTTGCCGGATAATGACAGTCTCCATCGCTCCATACAGCAGACAATGCCCAAAATCGGTCAGAAATACAAGTGAGAATAAAAATGAAAATATTACCAATTGGACTTCTTTGACATTTCAGTTACATAAAGTATTTATAATTAAAGTCGGCCAGGGTATCGGTTTGGACATGCAAACTGGTCTTCAGAAATTCATTCGGAAACTATTTTGACAGCTACGTCATGCCTGCCAAGGGGCATTTCCTCAGCCAGTATTAAAATTCAAAGCCTCGAATGGCTGGATCTGCTTGCATGATCAGCCAGATACGTTCTTGCAACAGCCATGAATTCCTGAACAGTTTAAGTGGGCACATTCAAAATCAGATGTATATCTTATGTCAGCTGCCTTCTGCTCTTGCGCAAATGGATGGCGTGGAGCTGCACGGTCTTCCTTTCCATTGGTTTTCTTTTCCTGTTTCCGTCCCTTTCTGAATATTCCAAGGGGCTGCTTCCAGCAGCTTCTGTAGCCACCACCAAAAGTGGATTCCAGAAACCCTCATCCCCACAAAACAGAAAGAAACACCATCTTTATTTTCCTTCCATAAGATTTATTTGGACCATCGAATTTCTCTGACATGGGCAATTGCCAAAGGTGCCCATTTCAACAGGTGCTCACAAAAGCCCCCAAACTTGCTCCATGGTATGCTGGGCAAGCAGCCTCCTCCTCCTCCTCAGCCAACGGTACTGGCTATAGCAGATGCCATGGCTTGCTGGCTCCCTGCCTCATAGGCAAGGTGGATGGGAAGCCAGAGAAGCTCTCGACAAAGGCGGTGGGCAGGCAAACCCGCCAGGCCTGTGGGGCTGACACGCTCTCTTCCTTTAGAAGTGAACAGGCTGAGCCAGTGTTATGGGGCTGCCCATGCTCAGGCCAAAGAGAGATCCGTCTTAGTGCACAATCCAATGTGCTGGCCCTTCTCTCATAAGGCCCTGGATGGCTTGGAGCTGCTTGCTGGCGGAGCATCACCCACACCAAGCTGCTGCTGAAATAAAAGCTCCATCGTAGGCAAGGTGGGTGGCAGATGCAGAGAGGGTCTCCTCCATTCCCCCTTGCAGAAATTGCACCTAGCACGGCTCTCCTGATGCCTGGCTCTTATTTCCTCAGGCACCAGGTGCAGGTCTTTTCATGTCCCCCAGGCTTTTGAATTGCTGCTTTTTCAACTCGCCTGCATTGTGTGCACATGCGTGCGCAGTGCATGCATGTGTGCACGCTTCCCACTGCGTCTGCTTTGCTGCATCTGATTCCAGTGCTATGCCATTTCGATAACCATTCATTCTGCTGTAAATCACCCTGAGAATTTCCTGTTCATTGAAGTGAACTGTGCAATGCAAGCAAAGAAGCAACATCAAACAACAATATTCAAATGCAACTGAATAGTAATACTAATAAAGAACGTGGGAGGCACCTCGGGCTCATGCATGATCTCCTGGCTCTGTTTCTTCCCCCCCTTGTATACTCAGCTTAATTGGTTCCTTCCTGGTTCGCGGCAGACACAACTGGCCATTGCGTCTGAACTGGCCATCCATAATGGCCCTTATCCTATAAACTGAGTGGTTTCCACTCCCAATGTGCAAGACAAACCAGAGCCATAGCTGGGTAGGGGAGATGCGAGAGCAAATACAGGCTTTTGCAATTGGAAGAGGGACTGGCTAAGCTAGGCTTATAAGAAGAAAAGGAAAAGGGAAGTGGGCATGCGCGAGCCGAAGGCTGCTTCTCGGTTCTTTCCTGTGGAAGCCTCATGCCATGCCGGAGCCAAGGGCAGTCCTGCCTGGGCCCCTGCTGAGAGCCCATGGGCCAGCAAGGGCCCCCAGTGTTGGCTCCTGAGTTGCCCTCATCATCGCAGTGGCTGCCCACTTGTTCGGCTGCCTCTTGCCCTGGCCCAGGTGATGGCGGTGGAGAGAAAGAGGAGCGGGCGATGCCGTGGCCTCTCTGCTGGCCCGGCGAGCCGGGGCAGCAGTGCTGAGAAGAAGACGGAGAGCAAGAGCAGCTGGTGGCCAACGGTGCCGGGGAGGGCAGCTCCCTGAGGGTGGTGCCCACTGGGGACGTGGTGGACAAGGACCTGCGAACGCCTGGAGCCAGGGCTGCCCACACGCCTCCCACGTGATGCCGACATTGCGCAGCGTTGTCTCAAGTGCTTTCTGAAAGGTATCCAGTAGTTCTCAGTTTGGTGTAATGCACACATTTGCGTATGCGGTTTCCCCAAATGAACACAGTTTTGTACACAGTTTAGGAGACTGCACTGCAGAGTTCAGGGCACTGTGAAAGCAGAACCATCACACTCTGGTTCGTGTATTAGCGTGGGGAGCTGAGTTCGTATTAAAAAGCTGACCAAACCAATTTATCTGCCTTCCCCAGAATGCATGATTAACTGACGGACTCTTTGTTTTGCTGACTGGGGATGGAGAAGATGTGCTTCTTTTTATAACTCTCTGCAGCAAGGCATGGTGTCTTCAAGGAAACATGGCATCTTGCAACAGCTGGAAGATGATGGAAAGTCACCTGTTGCAGCCTCACGTCCTGCTGGAAATGCCTTCATGGGACAGGCATCTATAGATCAACCTCTGTATAAGATGAGGAGGGTGCTACCGGCATAAAGCAAGGGGTGACTGAACTCCATGAAGCCAATTGATGGGAAAGGAGGGAGGGCATGAGCGATCCATGGTGTCCCAACTGCAAGTAGAATTTCTATTTCTTTCTCTCTGAAATGGCTTATTGCTCTCATTCCCTCCCCGCCCCTGCTGAGAGAAAGGTGCAGGGGACCGGGAGATCTCTGCTGCATCTGATTCCCCCTGGATTGGCTGGCTTTTTGCCCACAGGGGGGCATTTGATTTTAGCAAGGAACCTCAGGCAGAAAGATGGGGGGGGCGGGGTGCAGCAGGAGAAGCCGCTCGTGTGAGCAAGAAAGCAGCCAATCCAGGGTGGGAGGGATCAGATGCAACAGGGACCCTCAGGGTCCCTGGACCTTTTTCCAACAAGTGCCCATTGCAAGGGTCTTACACACACACACACACACACACACACACACACACACATGGATTTTGCAGCACCTGTAAATAGAATTTGCAAATTTGTGCATTTTCCCCCTTGGATGCCTGGGTCCCGATTCTTTCTGGTACCAAGCACCATCCCTGTTTTCACCTGCAGTCTTTGCATCCTGAGGAATCCTGATGTTCCTCAAAGTTCAGGCCAAATTTTCATCTGAGATTCTCTGTGGTAATTTAGTGGGTGCGCCATTCTTCACCAACAATTATCATAAGGCCAGGTAATAATATCATTTAACAGTCAAACCAGCTGATAAGCAGAGACTCTGAGTCTATGATATAATGGCACATAATTGGAGCCACAATTAACTGGAGTCATACAAATGGCTTCAAAAAATCTGGCTCTGCATGTTTTGGGAGGACAGTCCCGCCCGTGAAATTGGGTAGGGATCCAAAGCAGTAGTGTCAACACGAAGGCCTTCCTCTCCGCATGGGGAAAGGCTGTAGCTGTGTGGCAGGGCATGCACTCTGCAGGCAAAAGGTTCAACGCCTTGTAACTAGTACTGGGAAAGATGTCTGCTTGAGACTTCCCAGAGCTGCTGCCAGTCTGTGTAGGCAATATTGAGTCTGACAGACCAATGGTCTGATTTGGAATAAGGCATTTTTCTGTGTGTTTCTCCTGATGCTGCTGTGAAACTGATGTGCGTTTGTGCTGCCATGCAGCCCATGTAAAAGATCTCCTTTCCCCACTTTGGGACTAAAATTGGGAGGTAAATCAAATCCAGATTAAGCCCTGGTGGCTGGACTGTAGCCATATGGGGAAAGAGGCTGCTGGGGACCTTTCCCTCCAGGGTTACTCCGGGTTTGTTTATCTAATTATAAGGGAAGAATGTATTGGATTTGGAGCTGCTAAAGAGGAGAAGGAGGTAAATCAGAGGAACAGAGAAACCTACCCAGTGAACTTGATGGCTTAGTGGAGTTTAGACGGGCCCTCTAACTGCTAAAGGGCACGTGCTCTTCCAAATCTCCACTCGGCCATGTATCTCAATGGAGTAACCACACTCAGGGGTCAAGTATGGATTGTCACTGAACTTTGAGTTGTTGCTGAAATGTGAGTTATAGCCTGGATTCAGGCAACATGGCAAACTACATTTCAACATGCTGGAGTGTGCTTTATTCTGCTGACTGAACCCGGTTGAGTTGAGAAACCATGGTGAACGAGCCACACTGCACAACCCAACTGCAAAACCTGGATTGTTAACCTTCCTGGGTTGTTCATGGTTAACAAGCTATGGCTTATTAGTGCAGCTGGTTCAGACATCAACCCCCATTTCAATAACAACCCACACTTAAGTCATGCAACCCAATATCATACTGTCTGAACCTAATCTCAGACCTTGCTAGCTTACCAGCTGTAGTGAGGATAAAGGTATGCAAGGAAATTGTGTATGACACACTGTTCCTTGGAGGATGAGATTAAAATGCATTAAGACTTATGCCTTGATTTCCATATGTCTGCAATTTGCATTGCATGTTTGATTGGTATCAGCTGAACAAAAACCAGATGATTAATCAGCTAAAAACCTCATTAGTTGGTGGTTGTGCAGTGGCCCCATGCCCAAGGGCAACCTGGCTATGGGTGCACAGTCTGGTGCAGCTGGGCCAAACTGGTACCAGCTGCCACCACCAAGAGTCTTCCCAGTTCCCCAGTTCTCTTGTTCCCTTGGGATCAACAAGGTTTCAAGGTTTCTTATGTTTAGTTGCTTTGCACCCACTTTCTGTGCTTAGGGAACCACTATTAGGTTATAGGCTTGGCTCAGCATGTTGTAAACAACCTGATTGTTGAATTAGCATTGGGGTACATGACCAAAAGTGTGGGACATCCTTTGTGAGCTTCCCTGCTTTCATCCACAAAGAACACAGTTTGCATTTTGGTGAAAATAGTGTAAAATATCTACTAGGGATTTAGGAAAACAGAAGGGGCAAAATAGCGTCTAGCTTCAGAGTACAAAGCATAAACAGTTTAATCAGGCATATGTCAAACAGAAAATCCAAGCTAGTTAGCACAGCTCTGAGCTAAGCTGTCTACCTATTCTTTGAAGATCCACGTGGTGAAATTCTCCTATACCTGTATCAGGTTTTCCCCCTCCTTTGGGGAGACACGCATCCTTCCCTAGAATCAGTATTAGAGGAAAATGTCCATGCAGCCTCCTCTGGCTTTTCCACTTCCTGGAGGATCTGCTTTTAGCACGGAGATAAAAGAAGCTTAAATGTCTTTCTTTGGTCCCTCCTCCCTTTCCTAGGTGGAGATTCCAGACAAATCTCTCAATCCCAAGGATGTTAAAAGAGTCTTCATTGTTGAGACATCTGATCAGATCACTATTCAACAGGTTTGCTAACTGGAGGTGCTTGACTTTGAGCTGATTTCAGTCTGCAGCTCAATGCCAGTATCAAGATGGCAAGCAAGGCCATCAGCTTTAGCAGAGACCTGCAAACTGGTTGAAAAAGGGAGGTTTCCATCTGGGTAAGATGGGGTTAATATGGTCTAGTTGAGCAGGCCACTCCAGGCAGAACAGGATGAGAGTTCTGCTGTCTGGTGAACTTCTCCTTCCTTGGTTGCTTTGCCTGGTTTTCCAAGCTCGACATCTTTGGTCCCAGTCCCTCGCATTTCTCTCGCTTCTCCAGTTTAGCAGCCCCTGAGCTGACATACGCCTCTGCTGTTGCCTCACCTCCGTCATCTGCTCAGAGACATGCTGACTCTCTTGGCTCATCCTTTTGTTTGTGTTTAGCTTTCAGCAGAGGCAGAGAAGAGGTGGGAGGGAAGATGGAATGAGGGCTTTCCTTGTCCAAGATGCCATGCAGAGAAGCACTGTTGGCACCGGTGTAAGAGAGTGTAGCTTGTATATGAAGCTTAGCCACAGCTGCAGTTGAGGGAGAACAGTAGGGTGGTCAGAAACCCTCCACCCAAAAGAAGAGGAAATCCCAGAATCATAGAATGGTAGAGTTGGAAGGGGCATGAGGCCATTGGGTCCAACCCCCTGCTGTTGCAGGACACCAAGTTATACCATCCCACTCAGATGGCTGCCCAGTTTCTTTTGAATGTCTCCAGTGTGGGAGAGCCCCCCACCCCTCTAGGCAGCTGGTTCCATGGTCGTATTGCTCTGACAGGGAGGAAGCTTTTCCTGATGTCCAGCCTGAATCTGGGTTGTCGCAACTTAAATTGATTGTTCCATGTCCTACACTCTGGCATCAGCAAGAAGAGATCTTGACCTTCCTCTTTGTGACAGCCGTGGAGATCTTTATAGAGGGAATCTCATGTCCCCCCTCAGTCTTCTCTTCTCAAGGCTGAACATGCCCAGTTCTCTCAGTCTCTCCTCATAGGGTAGCCTTTCCAAATCCTGGGTCATTCTTGTTACCCTCCTCTTGACCCTTTCTAACTTTTCTGCATCTTTCTTAAACCTTGGTGCCCAGAACTGGGCACAGTATTCCAAATGAGGGCTAACTAGTGAGGTCTGACAAATCCATGATCCCAAAGAGAGGACAAACTAGGCATAGCCTGATCAATATGTGGAGACACAAAATTAGAAATCCTGGCTATCATTTAAAAGCAGATCCATATTTCCACATAGCAGAAAGACCTGGTGATCTATGCACCGACTCAGTCTGCTGCCCATGTGGATACGTAGCTTCAAGGTCCCAGCCCGCCCTGCTTTCCCTTCTCAAGGCGCCTTATCTTCTAACTAGGGCTGGTCATCCTCAAATGGAGAACTCAAATGGAGAACTGCCCCATGATAAGTGGGATACATGGCCAACTTCCAGCACTCAGGCAGGTGAAGGACCTTCTGAGAGAAGGCCAGGAAAGGGAATGGCGCATGAAGAAATGCATGATAGAAAAGGCCTTATGTCTTCTCTCTAGGCAAGCTCATCACCCCAGTCTGTGGTGTGGTCTTGAAAACAGGAGTATGAATTTCCTGGGGAGGCTTGTCCAGGGACCCTAGCCTTGCCCTCCAATTGGTGGTGTGCAATGCTTTATTTACTTGATCTATTAATATCTTGCCTCTCCATTTGAATGCAAACCTTTAAAAACTAAGGAGAGGACATGAGGCAATAAAACCCTAAAATTCCCAGCTACTAGACGGAGCAATATTCCAGCTTAGTAGCTGGGAATCCAAACAATTTTATGCAAATTATTTTAGAGCTTTATATTTTTCTGGTCTTTTTCATCACAAATGCATGAACTATCTCTCCATAGTCACTTTCTCTTGTAAGTTCATACTGAACAAACAGAAAAAGGATGCTTGCCTGTTCTTGTCCTATAATAGAATACAGGTAGGTTTTCACCTGCAACTTATGGCAACCCTATGAATGCATGGCCTCCAAAATGCTCTGTCCTGGGCAGCCCTGCTCCGCTCTTGTAAACTCAAGTCTGTGGCTTCCATTATGGAATTATCCATTATCTATTCATCTCATAGATAATCTTTTTCTGTGTTTGACTTTCCCTAGCACAATCATCTTCTTTGATAAATCTTGTCTTTCCATGATGCACTTGAAGTACAGCAGCTCCAGTTTAATCATTTTTTGCTTCTAGGGCAGTGGTTTTCAACCTTTCCACAGCTGGGGACCAGCAAAAACAGAAAAACCACCCCTGGGACCTCTAATTTCATGGCTGCTGTTTCCATTTGAATTGATGACTGAGGCAAAGCGTGTAAAATCTTTCACAATTGCAGTTTCTGTATTGTTAATGTTAAAGTTGTGATTTTGCTTTCTTGATGTTCAGCTGCAGTCCTGCTTTTGCTCTTTCTTTCTTATTTATTTATTTATTTATTTATTATTTTATTTATTTATAAAATTTGTATGCCGTCCAATTACTTGCGTCTCTGGACGACTTTACAACATAGACAAATTGACAATCCACTCTGGCTGCAAATTAATAAAATACAACAATAAAATTCAGTATTAAAACATATTAAAATATTGATTAAATAAAAAGGTCTTGACCTGGCACTGAAAAATATATAATGACGGTGCCAGACGGTCCTCTCTGGGGAGCGCATTCCATAGTCAGGGCGCCACCGCAGAGAAGGCCCTCCTCCGGGTACTCTGTCTCCTAACGTCTTTCACAGAGGGTTCCCGGAGGAGGGCTTCTGTTGCCAATCTCAGGGGGTAGGAGGGCAAATAGGGAAAAAGGCGTTCCTTTAGGTATCCTGGTCCCAAGCCATTTAGGGCTTTCATTTTCATCAGGAGCTGCTTTGATCAGGCAAGCATGAAAACTCCACTAAAATAAGTGCAAAATAAATTATAAAGTTCCCTGAGAATGAGGCAGAAAAATGGAAGCCCCTGTCATGGAGGAATAATGCTTTCAAGAAATCATAGGATAGATTCTGAGGCAGTACTAGTTTGATCTCCTCCTTGGAACTGCTTGCAACAGTGCACCTCCCATACCTGCAACCGCTGCCACAGGTGTGCCCCACCTGTGAGAAACCAGTGGAAGATTTCTTCTTGAGTGAACTTGTCCTCCCAATTTCTCTGCCTGCAAAGAGGCAGGAGAATCCAAGAGGCTGGGTGCAGGCAGCTCTGCCTGGTTTGCCCCGTCCCCTCCTGTGTACGCACAAGGCGCTCTGGGACTGGCGAAGAGCTTAAACATGCATCCACTGTCTCCCTCATTCTGTCCTCCCGACGACCCTGTGAGGTTGGCTAGGCTGAGAGATGCTACCTGGCCTATGATCATCCACTGATTTTCATGCCGTAACCAGCGCATTAAACCCGGATTTCCCTGTTCTTAGTCCCGGGCTCTTTCATACTGGATATGGATCTCCAGGTCTATTTGGGCCCTTATTTCCTCCTTTATCACATCCACCCAAAACCAATTGTTTCCAAGAATCCGCATCCTTATGTCCTGTGATCTGGTCTGATACGTGGCACAATTCCTTCTGCACTGTCTTGCCCTGCTTCATTTGTATAGGAAAACATCGCACAATTCCTTCTGCACTGTCTTGCCCTGCTTCGTTTGTATAGGAAAACATCGCACAATTCCTTCTGCACTGTCTTGCCCTGCTTCGTTTGTATAGGAAAACATCAGCAGAGTCTCAAGCAAGAGGTAACACAAAAGGGAAGCTGCTGCCCACAGTTCAAAAGTGTTAGCAAGGGAGTGACTCTAGAAAGAAGGGGGAAACACACACCCGCGGAGGAGTCATTAAAGGAGCATTGTCATGCTAATTGTTGGACCTTTCGAAGTCACAGGGCCTTGGCTTGCTGCGCAGGTGGAGGTTGTTATGAAGTGGCGCTTTGGAAAGAACCGCCTGGAATGCTGAATATTACAATAGAAGGCACGACTCTAGACAGGAAGGGGTTTTCTGTGCCAAAGTGGTTAGGTTGAAAATAGACTTCGAGTTGACCAGAATGCCCTGCTTAAATGCAGATCTACCCTAACCACAAAGAAGTGGGGAGTGGGTTCTGATCCTAACATCATGCAAAGGATGTGCCCAGACTTTTACCTTCTGAGGTTGCATCCCTTTCCACCTTGCTCTGCCCAAAATCACTTCTAATATTAGAGATCTGCTGAGGCAGAAAAGCAGTTCAGATGCAGGAATCGTGGAAGGTGTTGCCCTGCCTGCCTGCCTCAGCCCACAGCTACCCGTTCCTACATGCTTGTGGACAGAGCCAGGTTTAAATGCCCAGATCTGTCGATATCAGTTCTGATGTGTTTGCAGATGGACAGCTGGTAATGCTACACAGTCAGCACTCTTCCACTGGCAGCTCCAAGACGGGTAGAAACTGATTTTGGGGGAGGAGGTGTATCCATATGTGCACGGTATTCTAAGAAAGATGACATAAAGGTGTGGGCGAGGAAGGAGCAAGGCACCTGAGTACTCCATTTAAATGCACACATGCACCGTATTGCTAAATCGAACTTTCCACCAAACATTCGTCTAAGGCACTGTCTAATGTCTGAAGATTTTAGAAGTGCTTGTATTCAACCTAATCAGCCTGGAATAATGATATGATGAGGATCTTGTGTCGGCCAGATAATAAGACTGCCCTTTGGGGCATTGGTTTTGGGCAGTTCAATCCAGGAAGGCTGAACACAACCTTCAGAACGTAGATGATGGGTATGATATGGGGGGGCAGAAGATCACCTCTGTGCTTCTCCTGTCCTGCAAAGCACTTAGAAGGATGACTTTGGTTAGCTGCATGATTTGCCCCAGAGCCGAAGGAGATGAGGCTGAGCCACCACTGGGATGCTGCATTTGCCGGCACACCTGTCTCCTGCCCTCTCCTCCCCACCTGCTCCCTGCCTACAAAGTCCATCTCCAGGTTTTCTCTCATGACCTCAGAGGCACAGCTTGGCCTTGGTTCTTTCCACATGGGCTGCGAGGACATGTCGTGTTAGCACCTCAGCTCTGACCTCAGAGGATGCATCTGCGGTCAGAGCTGGGGCTTCACGTTTTCCTTCAGCTCCCCTGGCAGCCCTGAGTGCTCGAACCAATTCAAGGCCGAAACCTGAGTTTTACATTTGCTTCTCTCTGTGTGTGGTCTCCCACAGGGATTCCTGGTTTATGAAACTGTCTGCTAAACACGGCAAATTCTTGAGGAAAAGCAAGTCCAGCCGAGAATCTGTTACACTCTTTCTTTGACACAATTGTGGCCCAAGCGCACCTTTTGTCGATCAGGCGGCTCGTTTTGCCCACAATTCTCCGTACGGTCTTTGGCCGTCCTGTGAAATGTCTGTCGAGGCATCTCTCGGGGCTACCGCTTGCTCATTTAGGAAACTCATTGACTGCCATCTGGTGGCAAACCCAGCTGTGGTGGCAGTTCAGTACCTGCCTTCTCTCTTGCTGCCACAGAGAATTTAAAGGTATATAGATATAGCTTCTGGGTGAAAGCCTGGACTTATTGGTGCAAGCTGAGCAGGAGGTCCAAGGCCCACTGCAAAAAATGGACAGAAACCCACTGCAATGTCAGAGCTGAGACTCTGAGTTTGGAGCACCTTCTCCGCTCGCAGTCTGAACGACGGCTGCTTCTTTGAGGTTGCAAAAGTGCCTGCAGAGGTTAGGTGGGCATTCCCAGGGGAAAGAGGGGAGGGCACAGGTGTGGCATCCCGGAGGCACATCAGCTTGCCTCCCTCCTGCTCTGAGGTGCCACAGGTAGGTAGCCAGCATTGTCGCGTGGTTTTGCAGGCTGGGAGCAGCGTGGAGGCTGGCAGTGATGCTGCGTTCCTTCCACCCTGTACAGGATGCCTGTTACCCTCCAAGCTGGGAGGGCGACATGTATCCAGGTAGCACTGTGCCTAAATAATTATGTACTGTGGATAACATCGACAACTTCTGAGCAGTGTGCAACAAAAATATGGATCGTTTTGTTGAATCACAACGAAAAGTCCATGTGGTATAAGATGTGTGTCCTACTTTCCTGTTCTCTGTTTGAGGAGCTGTCAGGACAGTCCTCTGTTTGAGGGTGGCATCTGTTTAAAGGGTATTTCTAGTCCAAGTCCAAGTTTAAAAGTTAAAAAACCCTAAGAAGGGAAAGCAGGTTCTTTGAAGTTGTCCATCGGTACTTAGAACTTGGGCAGCAAACTGTCCAAGCACATTGCTCACTTGGTCACAGTTTTTCTGTAATTTAAATAACAGCCATTATTTCTACACATATGTCTACAAGACATATGAAACAGCATCCACATTTTTGTCTGTAATTCTCCCGTTATCCACATTTTTGCATGGAATTTTCCAATTATAATGAATTTTTGAATGCTATTTTCACTAATATACAAGATTCCACATGCAACTTCCCCTAATGCACACATTTGTGTGTTTATTTTGTGATTACTAACCTCAGCTGTAAAATCAGGGGAAGGGGAAGATTAAGTTGACATATTGGCTAGAAATGTGGAATTAGCTAAATGTGTATTAATATTAGAATGGATCGAATTTCTTCCTCATTCATCATCATCATCATTACATCTAGTTCTGGACTGCCCACTCAGTTGCTCACCTTGCTTCATAAACACAATCGAGTTACAACAAACAGGGAAGGCAAGACAGTTTTATTGTCTTTCATGCTGCAGATCAGGCAGAGAGAGAGAGAGAGAAAGAGATGTCTAAGGCTGCCTAGTAAGTTCGCGGCAGAGGTAAGATTCCAGCCAGGAGTGACTCGCAGCTCATGTTCGTGGCCACCGCAATTCAGCAAACACATGTTCCTCGGGCGCCTCTAACCTAAGCATGGCTATCGGTCCGAGGCAGCGTGATGGTTCTGTCCACTAGGGCTGGAGACCCAACCTTTTCATTTGGAGCCCCAAATCTATGGGAAGGCCCCTGCCCCCCAACCTTCCCCCTCACTTATTCTTGTCTGAAATTCTGACCCCCTCGTTGGGTTTAGTGAAAGAAAAAAAAGGGGAGTGTCTCAATGGACACCCCCCTTTTTAACCCTGCCCCCTCTGTGAAAGATGGGTTAAATTTAGACTGGGGGGAGGCGGTGTCAAACCTCCTTGCTCTTACAGCACCGAACTGGGGCCATGTAGGCTTACATGGAAGTAAATAAAACGATTGTGCTTAGCTCTGATAAGCACAGTCTAGCTTGCCCTTCTTCGTAAGTGGAGGTAGGGTGAGGGGTGTGAGGAAAAGAGAGAGGGGGCTGGAGGCCAATTTGAAGCAACCTGCTGTGAGTCTCCCCAAAGCCGGTCTTGGGCTGGGAGTGGGAACAGGGTCCCCCATGCCTCTCCCAGGATGCGGTTTCCTTCGAGCCCCTTCCACTGTTCCAGTGGGCCCAACACTCCAACGTTGACAAGGTGGCCAAGAAGGGAAGAATCTGTATGGTTCTAATCATTTCCATCATTACAGCCTCTTTCTCTCACTCCATTCATTTATACAGAACTCCAGTATTGTCCTCCTGGCAAAAGGGCACAACCTTGTATGGGGAAGAGGGGCAGCAAAATCCACTGTTACTTGAGGTGGCAAAGTATTGTGCGCCTGTGTTGTGGAGGACCTGGCAAGCCCTCATGAAATGAGAAATGCCCCTCGGAGGGAAGGGGCACCTTAGAAATAAGGGGAGGCAAACACATGGGCCAGGGGGCAGGCTTGGATCCTCCAGATCTTTGGGGTGAAGCGTCCTCTGTTCTCCTCAGCTGAATTCTGTGTCACAGGTGTGATCACCACTCCAGTCCTGTTGTCTCCTTGATCCATGGCACGATGCAGCAGACCTTGGAGTACACTCCAGGATTCCCCCTCTGGGCACACACCCTCGTCCCCCAAGAAACCACACCTTCAAGTTTCCCATCACAGATGAGGGGGCCCCCAGAGTCACCCTGCAAGGAGAAAGGGTTCAGATCATCAGTAAAGGCTCCCAGATGCATTAGCTGAGTGAATCTATTTGTTGCTATTAAAACTCAAGCACGGGCACACCCTTTGTGTAGTGAGACAGCGCAAATGCATACCAGTCCAAAACTAGCTGAGGAATTCTGGAAGTTGTGGGACCTTCTCTCTCTCTGGAATACATAGGATTACATCTTAAATTGACTACTTTTGTGTGTTTAGTAATTGCTTTGCTACATTGTTCAGGGAAAGACCATCACTTAGTCGTAGAAGGCTAACCCTTATGTTTCAGGTTTAATCTCTGGGTAGGGCTGAAAAGGCCCTCTCCGAAAAACCGGGACAGTAGCTTTCAAAGTCTTCAGATCCAGGATCTGCTTTTAAGCAAACCGTGCATTTGGGGCTCTATTTCTCATTTTAAGTATATATTTCCATGGTAGTAGTGTTCCATCTATTGTGATCTGGCTACAGCCCAGGAGTAGGTCATGGCGATCATTGATTGAAGATCAGAGGAGCAGACTAGTGTCTCACAGACCTGAGATCTCAGAAGCGGTGGGACTGCACCTTCCCATCATCAGGCAGGATGTCCAATGACCAGCAGTGAGGGGAGCAGATAGCCCAACAATATGTGGAGATCCGGGGTTGAGAAAGGCTGGATATGGACAACACCAGTCTAGTGGACCATGGCATCAAGGTTCCCATCATTTGCTGGGACAGTGGATTGTAGTTTGATGCCCCTTTGCTAACCAGGATCTTTCAGCACAGGCAGATATTAAACCACATTTCTCTATTTCAGATGCAATAGCTGTACTTAAGCTAGGATTAAGCACTGAAGCAGGCTAGGGTAGGGTTGGGATCAGCACGCTCGGCCAGGTCCTGCAAGACGAGCTGAGCCAAGAGGAAATCCGCGAATGTCCATTGTGCACCCCAGATTGCACAACCCACAACAATGAGGAGTGGCTGCAGGAAGCAGGAGATGGGTGCCGTCACCAAGATCACCAGGAGCCCTTCCCGGCGACCAACCTTCTTCCCCACCTGTTGCTGCTGGTGGAGGTGGCAGTGGGCACAGAAGAGGGGCTCTGCTTCTGGACCTTGCAGGGCTTGATTCCTGGCAAGCGCCCCAAGAGCACTGGGCATGCTTCCCAGGACCCTGGATTCCAGGCTGCTGCAGAGCGGACTAGAGTCCAGGGAGTGAAGCCCAAGGAATCCAACATATTCTTACCCCGTAATGGATTCTTCGCACATCTGTAGGCTAGGAGACAGGTGAGGAGGATGCACACAGTTCCCCAGCTCCTTCCTGTCTGCTAATGCTATACGGTAGCAAGCCAGGAACTGTGCTTCCAAAATAGACCTACCTAGGACTTTGTCACCTCTCAGCAGGGAGGCCATATCTACCTGCAAAAGGTCCTAATCAGGCGGTCAGTTCTCTCTCACCTGGCAGGAGTCAATTCCTCCTTGTGGGACTCCAGCACACATCATGTATGGTGTGACGGAACCATAGTATCCCGAATTGCACATCCTTGTTGGGACAATGTTGACGTTTGCACACTGTAGCTGAGCAGGAAGATTTGCTGGAAGACATAAAATATCGAGAGCAACGATCTGTCAGGAACAATGGCTGTGCCACCTACGCACTGAGGTTTTTTCTCAGGGTGATTTAACATGATGTGTGAACTCCTGTAGCCTGTGCATGGTTAACAACCATGCCATGTTTGGACATCACAACAAGCCACCCTGAAGCAAACCAGGATGTCCATCCACCATGGGTTGTCTTGTCATACAAACCAGGCTGCTGTGCATTAGTAGCACCAGTTGTGAGAGAACAAGCTGGAAAGCTGGCTGAGAGGGAGGGCTTTTGGATCACCGCAAGAGCGGTTGTGCTCAACAAATAGTAGTTTCAAGCGTGGCTGCATAATGCGAGGAACACCACCACCCATGGAGAAGCCTTTCACAACCTCCAGTTTTACTGGACTACAATTCCCATTCACCCCAGCTGGGATGATCCCCATCTCCCCAGTCCAGCCAGCCATGCTGCTGAGGGATGAAGAGACTCATATTTGGATGCTAGGAAGCACTTCCTGACAGTTAGGACCCCGAGGGTATGGAATGGGCTTCCACAGGAGGTGGTTGAGGCCCATCGGTGAGGGTGTTCAAGGATAGGCTGGACATGCACACGGTAGGCATGTCGTGAGTGGAGTTGGCTAGAGCCGGGGGTCAGACTAGATGGCCTGGGAGACCCCTTCTGACTCGCTCTGTTTCTATCCAGAAGGCCACTGCACTGGGGAAGGCAGCTCCAGAGGGGTAAAAACATTCTCTCTGAAGGTGGTTCTAATTCTAGAGTTGTTCCTGCACCTTCTGGAGATTTGATGGTGCCCCAGCCTGAAACAGTGCAGTGCATCCCATCAGCAGGGCAGCCAGAAGGTAGTGGAACTGTCTGCACAGCTTCTGAGAGTCTGGCACATGGAGAAATCCGGAGGAGCATGTAATCCTTGTCGTTGGTTCTTCTATCATACTGCGGATGTGTTTTAACTTCAGCAATATGGGAGCATTGCTCTGTGTTTTCAATCTTCTTCAGGTTTTGCTTCCCTAGGCACACCATCATCCTACATGGACACAGAGCAAAAATAAAATAGAATAAGCATGGAAAACTGGAATAGGGAGAATTTCATTCTAGATTTATTTTAATGCAAATGTTCATCATTTCATAGTTTTGAACAAGGGTGCAAACAAAGCCTAGTTATTCTTTGAAGTTCACTCTTCTACAATTTTTAAGGGAGCTTTTCAAGTAAAAATGCTTACAAAATGTGTATATTATTATAACAGGACTTTTACATTTATACCGGCCTCCCAAACTGCCCTGGATTCTTAGGGGAATGTGCACAAAATGTGGCTTTGTTAAAATATTGTTCAGAAGTGCATTATGCAAAGAAAATTGCACACAAAACTGTAGCGTGGGGGTTAAACAAACTGGCAGACATATTGGGGGTCTCTGGCAGACCTTTGCGGGGGTCCTGGGAGCAGCTGTCCTGCAGTGAGGGCTCTCTGGAGCTTTCCCCCACCCCTCGTTGTGTGGCGCCTGCTCCCCCTCGCTGCACCATGCCCGGGCCCAGCGAGAGGGCAGCACGCTCTTGCAAGGTCTGCCGAAACCCGCTCAAAGGAGCTCTTCAGGATATGGCCAAGTTCTCGCACCAGTTGCACAACCAGGAGGTGGCACGCAGCAGAGGTGGGAAGCGGGTGAGCTAGCAAAGTGAGAATATTTCTGAGAATATTGAAAAAACATGTCCTAGCCATTTTGGAAATGGAAATGTCCTTCTTCAGGGGCAGATACTTATTCGTTGTGACAAACTCCATTTCTACTCTTATCCTCACATGGCTTTCTCCCTTTTTTCAATAACCAGCAACTTAAATGATTTTTCTTGTTGCATCTGCTTGATTTTGGGTCTATTTGGGGTTGGAAGGGTAGCCTGAACAAAACTGAATGGATCCAATTCCACAGGGAGAAAGAAGAAAAAGCTAGCATCAATAATACTGTCATTTCCCCTGGAAGCATGACCCTGCCAGATACTGTACTCCATCAATTCTTAAAGTCATCCAGTTATGGCATCTTGCAGAAATCCATATGCCCTTTAAGTCCCTGCCTCAATCATTAATAAATTGTTGGTGCTAATACTGGAATTTGCATGGGTGGAAAGAGCTAGAGTCCTAGCTAAAATGATAGATAAGATTAAAGATTAAAGATTCAGGTGTACTGTGTTTTCCCTGCTTTAACTGGTGCTGTGAAGCTGCTACACTGGCTTTCTTACACCTCTAGTTGAACTCAGACAAAGCTGTATAGATGGAATATCAGGACATATTTACAAGCCCATGAAGCATATCCTGGTTTTATAATAAAAAAGATCAGGGCATCCTTAATGGCATCCCATGCATGAGGAGTGTTTTTAAATTTGGCAATTGTGTAAGAAAAAAATCAGCCCCCTTGAGAGCAATTTTATACAATTCAGAGTTTGAAATAAAGGGATTTTGAGGGTTTGGGGCAACGGGGTGCAATGCAGCAGCACAGTGTTCTGGACCGGAGCAGGATAAAACCTTAGGGAGACGTGGTGAAAACAACATGACACATTCGTGTCGACACATCGCTGCCTCGTCCAAGTTCGCTTTAAATAAAAAGGACTTTTAAGATGGGAGAGACGATGCCTTGAAGTTTTCCATCAAACACGTGTTGAGACCTGGACCGCAGACTGAATACCAGTTGCCCACAAACACTCTTCCTCACTAAGGCAAAATGTCTTGTGTTTCTGTGAAATGATAGTAAAATTTATCAGCGTATGTTTACACACAGACATTCATGCCTGTCCTTTCCATGCAAATCTGTGTCCTCTTTTGCTCTCTTTCTGGGTGATGCATTTCCTCCTATTAGGCAATGTGTGGGTGACTGGGAGAACAGAAATGATTTTGCCTGGGGCCTAGCCAAAGGTTGCTGGCTCCTATGGGGCAGGTGGGGTGGGGTGGGGGCATGCCAAAATTAAGAAGTTGCAATATTTGATCTCGACAAGATTTGATTGCAGCTCACTTTTGTCAAATTGCTATGCCAGGCTTTAGAGCAAAGTGGTTGCTTGTCCCAACATTTATACTTCCCTCCGTTGACTTACCCTGCTCTGGGTTTGCAATGGGCGGCTGAGAGCACCCAGCATTGATGCACTAAGCTCCCTCCGCAGTAAATCCTCCAGTTGCCTCTCCTTCCCGACACGAGGGCTGCCTGGAAGGCTCTGGAGCGGGCTGGGCAGGTGTACCCTCCAATGATTCGGTCGCCTGTGCCCTGGTACTCGGAGGCTGCAGTAAATTGCGCACAAGGAGAGAGAGTCGCCATTGCATCACTGGTTTCTGGAAACGCGCCCCCAGTTTTCCTGGTGCCCACTTGCTGGAAAGCAGCGTTTCTGTGGCAGGGTAGGCAGCTCCAAGAGAACTGGGGTCCATTTTTGCCCCCAGTATCCCCCCAGTAGGCTTCATGAGGGGCAGCCCCAAAACAATTAAAAACCTAAAGGGGAAATGGCTCCCCATACATATAATGCCTCCCCCAAAGAGACTCAGCTGGTACCTGTGCTGTTCTTTGCTACCCCAGTCCAAGACTTTTTCTTTTCTTTTCTCCCGGGCATTTTGGAAACCAGATTTTTAGATGTTCTGGCTGTTTCTATATATCTCGTGCTGCTTGTCATGGTGCCCTGTCCTGTATTTTGTTCTTCTAACCATTTCTGTTCTATTTTATTCTTTTAGCTATATGGAATCCACACAGAGGATATTAGTTATTGGGTGGATTCAAAATTGAACAAACGAGCAGGCCCAGCAAGCGGGAATATCAGCAGCGTGTCATATGAAGCACAATTCAGCTATGAAGGTTAAGGTCTTGTCCAGAACTCCCTTTCAGCACTGCCTGCTCAGTGGTAGAACCCCATTTCTGGGCTTTCCCAGCACCAGGGCGCTGGTGACACAGTGGAGTCTCACCTCCACGGCAACTGTTCTTTGTAGCTTCATAGGAGCAGAAAGATTTGCATCTGTGTATGAATATATACCCTGATGCTGGGAATGATTGATGGCGAAAAGAGAAGGGGATGGCAGAGGATGAGGTGGCCAGATGGAGTCACTGGGGCAGTGGGTGTGAGCTTGGGTGGACTCCGAGGGATGGTGGACAGGAGAGCCTGGAGGAATGTTGTCCATGGGGTCGTGATGGGTTAGGCATGACCTTGCAACTAACAACAAATATGAAAATATAGATGCAATTTTAAGAAAATATATGTAATATAAATAGAAATATAGTAAAACTTGCCATAGTATGGAAGACCATGGCCAGGTGACCCGTGTGCCTTCCTGTTTACCTTGTGGTCCAGCTGCTAACTGTTGATGGGCAACCATCTTATTGTTCTTTACCTTTACATTGAGATTGGACAGGATGTCCCTTCTAGTAGAGGACTTGGCCATACTAGCACATGAAGTATGAGCTATTTAAATTTATTATTATATTTTACTGCCAGGGTTTCTGCCTCAAGTGTTCAAATACAAGCCTTGGGCACTCTGCACCTTGATGTGGAGTGGTCGATTTGGTACTACGTCTCAGGCACAAACATGCCGTGGCCCAGCCAGCTAGAAAATCTCATCTCACCTTCTTTTGGATGGCCTTCCATTCTTTTCAAGCTGGCATCAGATGTTAGTTTTAATCTCTTTAGCAAAACTATCCTTAATGAAGCTTTACTTCCCCTCTCTCTTGCTGTCTTCTTATCTTATTAATTTATATTTTATTGATTTTTAAAAATGTTTTATCATGCTGAAAGCCATTTCCAACATTTTAAAGGCAAGGTTAAATATTGTAAAATAGAAAAGTTCAGCAAAGCCAAAACAGGTGCATCATACAGATGGTTAATGTTCTAGGGACAGACGACCAGAGCATAAACAAGATCACTGGAGCCCATGGATATTGCCATGAGTCACTGGATATCATTTTATATATCTGTCTAATTAAATGTACAACATGTTTATGATTTTCCTTTTGTTTGTCATCACATCTGTCACTCTCACAGATCATTATTATTTCCAGGTAAGGAAATACTTGGGCTTTTCCGTGACTTCCTGTTTGAGAATCCCAATCTTTGCCCTTTCTCTGGGGTCTCCAGCATGTTGTCCCTAGTCCTGAAAGTGTCCTCAAATATCTTTCTGATGCCCACAATACTCCTTGACCCTTCCAAATGCTATTTGCAAGTTTAAGTTTTTATTTTATTTCTTAAGTTGGGAGGTTGGCATTCTGCAAATGAATTCCTGACTGCCAACACCATTTTTTCTGGGATCCAAAAAAGTGTTTTGAGTTCTGCAATTGAGACTCCCAACTATGCCTTGGATGTAGGTTCTTGGGTAGGTTATATTTCTTTTAGTCTCTGCAGTTTGCTTTCTGGAAGATGAGAGTTTTGTGAACAGCCATGGCAGGCAAACAGCCCACTGCATGGGAGCCATTTTGGAGAGCACCTGGAATAGTCCATCAACATTCCAAATGTGCCCACTAATCCAAAAGGGTTGAAGACCGTTGTCCTACACCCTTTCCTAGAATTGGGACACACAGCAGGCTCTTCATTTAAAATCTCTATTTATCTCTAAATCCATGAATATATACGTAAAGGGCCATGCTGGAACAGGCCAAAGGCCTATCTAGGCTGACATTTGTTCATAGTGGCCAACAAGCTGCCCACAAACAGGACATGAGTGGAACAATACCCTTCCACTTCTGATGAATGCTGTTGGAGAGACATGCGGCCTCTGATACTGGAAATAATATATATGGTCATAATTAGTGTCCAAGAAGATGGAAGAAGCAATAAATCCATCAGTTGTTGTCTTGGAGGTCCCACTGTCTATGACCTCCCACAGCACTTGTGGTTTGGCCCTCAAGCCATCTGTTTGGGCTGGGGTAACTCTGTGTCCTACTTTAGAAAGGATAGAGGGCAAACCCTCAGAAGGGACAGCAGGGAAGGCTCTTGAATGTGCCCACCCACAGTCATTCACACCTGGATAATGGCTGAGCAGGCACACAGGTTCCCTGGTCATGGTCTTTCCACAGTGGTGAGATATATTATATTCCATTTTCAATTATAGCAACTATTTTCAAATTGGTATTGTTATATAAATGAATTTAAGCAACATCTGTGCAAATCCATGTCATCTGCAAATTCTCACTTGGAGTGAGGGTGATGCTTTTCTTCACTTGTGAAGATCACCGTAGCCCAGGCTCAAGGCTTGCAAGAACCGTAGGACATCAGAGCAGTCATGCCAATGCCAGAGGGGCTGTTGCCCTGTAACACGGGGAACTTTCCTCCTGCCAAAATGCAAAGAACTCTGGAACTGGTAGTCCTGGAGCAAGCATGCCACGGAAGCAAGCACAAATCCGGCCTCTCAGAATACAGACCCAAGTGCATTCTTCCTCTTCTAGAAAGGAGTCCAGACCAGCCTTTCCCTGCTCTGGGTGCTGTTTCTTTTGCTCTGACACAGCTTTTAACCTGCACCAGCAATTCTTACAAGAGCAGGATAATTGATGCCCAGATACAGGGATATGTCATAAATATCCTCAAGCATGATTCATCACAAGGCATCAATCCGCTACCCCATAGTAAAAGGGTTCCAGCCTAGGCTGCTTCTCATGGATGTTCTGCCTCTGCTAAAGTGTAGCTCCCCTCTCTACCCTAGTGGAGCCCTTATTGAGTCCTTATTGTTGGGGGGGGGGGCGGAATGGCACCACTATGGAGCAAGATTGCTGGAAAGACCAGACACAACAGCTACCCCCGGCCCAAGGCAAGCACTTGAACCTCTACAGAAATTTTGCTGCTCTGCCTAACCCCACTCTACATGGGGCATCTTGTGACTGCTCAAAAAGCCGTAACCCTAATCTTAAACTTAACCACCAGCACTAACAAAAGCTTGGATGAAAGAAGAATGGAAAAAGGACCTAGCGTTGACCTTGTGTGCTCCCCTGAGTTGTTTTTGCATACCTGCAAAGTTCATCAGGAGCAATCCGAGGACCAGCAGCTTCATCGTTGCAAATCAACTAGAGACCAATCTTCTCGTTGAATTTGTTGCAAGGCAAAAGAATCACAGGGAACAATTCATGGATGTCGGCAAGATATAGTCACTGATACTGGTCCCTAAGCAGGGCCCACACTTGTGCACACCCAGATGATGATACAGAAAGACATTATCATCCATAATTGTTTATGTCAATCATTATCCAGTAATCATGCTGCATGGTACATGATCATTAATGCTTGTGCTGAGACAAGAGGAGTTATTACCACTCAGGTAGATACTTCCTTTGGGCAAAAACACACGTGAACCTCACAGGTGCGGGGAAAGGGGTCAAGATGGAAATGCAAAAAGATTTGTTTTCTATTAGCAGTTTTTTAAGGTTTTTCATTGTCTTTAATAGTATTCAAATAATAGGAGGCAGAAGATATTAATATCAAGAATTATTCTGTTTTAGTTGGTTGTCTTGTTAGCTGCTCAAGAGACCTTTGGAGAGAGGTTGAAGAACAGGTTCTAAATATATCCAACAAATACGTAACACAAATCAGTTGTTGAATGCAACTCCCATCATCCTCAGCCACTGAGAAGATGCGAGGTGTACTCTAACACATCTGGAGGGTTCCAGGTTAAGAATGGCTGAGATCTGTCATCTCTTGGGATAGTGCATAACTATGTACCATAAGTATGAGTGATACAATGATGAGGAAGAAAAGAGTTGCGGCAGTCTGGAGGAATGGCTAGAGCAGGGGCAGACAACTCACTGGCCTCTGATGCTTTGGTTTACAACTCCCTTCAGCTCCAGCCCACGTGGTCAATGATCAGGGAGTCTGGGAATTGTAGTGGACTCTGGGTTGCCTGCTTCTGCACTGGGGAGACCCAAGTTCGAATCGACAAAGCCGTGCTGCACAGCTTGGGACATCCCCTCCCTGCCGTATGACTGCCACATAATTTTGTGACAGGGCTGTTGTGGACTCACCAGCTCTATGGTAGGCAGAAGTTAAACCGTGGAAGCCTTTCCTGGATACAGCGATGATGTGGCTGGGAAAGCATCATTAAATGAAAAGTGTCACGGAAGCGCCCTTAAATTGATGCTTTTTTCAAGGCACACTGTGGAAAAATGTAACAATCCTACTACCAAGAAGCTGGGGCTCTACTGCTTTTTTGGGGACATTCCTGGTCTTTTCACTCCTTAGGGTCTCCAGAATAAGAGTGGCATATTAAGCATATTTCCAAGAATGATTGGACTATGGTCCATATGCTACACAAATCTTTGTTCATATGAGCTCTGAGTATACAACAGAAATTCACTTGTGTTGTAAGTAGGTCAAAATCCCAAAAGTTCTTCTATATTAGAAAAACTGAATCCAGCAAAAATGGGACAAGCACCACTGAATACTTTAAAGAGAATGAAGTCCTACAATTTTTCTATAAAGTTATTCACTTCTTAGCTAGAGATTCACAAGTACAGCTGCCATATGAAGATTTTTAAAGAATACCAAGTATTTTATCAAAAGTTATTTGTCACTGTCCTTACACTTTGGGTGAGCATTTGGAGTCCAGTCTGTGCCTGGGGTATAGTCCGGGGGAAAAAATTTCTACAGCTCCCAGGATTCTCCAGGAAGCCAGCTGGGGGATACTGGGAGTTGTGAGACTTTTTTCTTCTGTCTAAACATTTGTAGGTTAAACCTCTTCACCATTACCAATGTCACTATGAATATTCTGCCTGTTCAGTGACTGGGACTCCAAGCATCCCCACTTCCTTCATCTTAAAGAACAGCCTCATCACAAACTGCGAAAGATTTGCAATCCCCATGTGGTCCTATTGGCAAGGACAAATAGCATAATGGACGGAGGCGGGGGAATCATTTTCAAGCTAGCACATGGTGCCGATGATGAAAACAATTTTCACTTATTTAAACAAAACAGTCTTTGCCTTTGCATTCCACACAATCCCAGGACAGTCAGTCTATTCTCCCTCTGTCTATCAGCCAAAACTGGAGTAGGTCAATTGAAATGATCAAGAATACCTAAGTACATAAGTTGCTGGGGAACATGGGTAGGAGGGTACTGTTGCCCTCATTTCCAGCTTCTGGTG